CCCCCCCCCCCCCCCGCTGCCTGGGTGCTCTATCCTTGTTTTCTCCCAGCGAACTTCCCATGTCCAAGTTTCTGGGGGATGTGCCAGGGAACATCGTGGCCGGCAACCAAATTTGGCATTCGTGGTGGGGAGACGTTGAGCCTGCCGCGGACGGCGCAGGATCTCCCCTCGACACTGACTGCTTCTGCTCGACGGCGACGTGCGAGGACGCCTAAGCCAAGCCGGCTCTCCCTTCCTCCTGGGGGGGTGCTTGGCCACTCCATTGTCGTCGTCACCGTCGTCACCTACTACCTCTCTCACTGGGGATCATTCTTGCCGTGATGATCGGCAAACCAGCTGCTGTCTACTCTGTCCGCCTCCCCTTCATCGCAAAATCCAACTTCGCTGCTTGTATTTGTTGGGGTTTGGACGAAAAGTAACGGTCGACCTCTCCGTCGAAATCCATTTCCCGCAATTGTGGTCTTGACCTCTCTTCCGTCGAACTCACTTTCACATAGTTGCGCCTGTCGTTGCCCGTGTATCCGGGTCTGAAGCTGTTCATGTGTTTTGCCCGACAGGGATATCGTCGGAAGTACCACCGTTTTTTCTGCCACGCACGTCTAGGCATCGCCAACATCGAACTACTTGTGGCGGACGCCTAGTCTCCTTTGGGACAATGTGTCGAGCATTTGTGGTTGTGTAGGGCAGGGTCTCATGGAAGTATCCACGTGGTAGCCTAGCCGACCTGCCCTACAGCAGTGGAAGCGTTTTTTGTTTTACCTCTTGTGACGATGACACCAGGGAGGTTACAGCAGAGGGTTGCGCACAATGGGCAGTACATGCGACTGACGCTGAATGTTGGAAATTATTGCAGGTACAGTGTCATGGGTAGGTGTAGCTTCGACTGTTGGGTGCGACAACTTGCGATTATGTTGGAACGATGGCAAGTTTTCCGTTGAGCCCTGTATGTTTCGCGTATGTACGGTTTGTCAGGTATCATGTACTTCGGGTTTTCTGTTGATGAATCAAGTGCCCGTGGCGTGCCACGAGAACGCCACGCGCACCTCCGATTCGTTGATGCATAGAGAAAAGGTGCCCGCAGTTTTCTGATTGGTCAACTTCTTGAAAGACCGTTCCAAAGAAAGGGCAAAAAACTGTGTTTATTGTTGCTTGCGTAACAAAAAAAACGCATGCATAGTGCAACAAACAGTTTTGAGACACTATATCGAGTTTGCCGCAAAGTTGGCGTGTGAGTTAGGAGCTACCGTGTTTGTTGCCGCGGCAGCCTGTTACCCGGCCTCGGGTTAAGCAAATGGCGATCAATTTTTGGCGAAAAAGAAAAGAGTCGTGGGGAATCGAGTCAATGACAGCGCGCGCGAAATAGGTGGCAGCATGCGTACATGACGAGTCCGTCCCCGCTTCCGTTCTCAAGCCTGAAAAAATGGGCAAAAAATCAAAACCAGCGTGGGACTAGCAACGCCGACGATATTCGTTGGCTTGATTTCGCCAAAAAATGACAGCATGTCCGGGTAGTGTAACGCCAGGGCCGACTTCTCTCCCCCGATAATGTCATCGTTAGCGTGAGTGGACGAACTGCATCAGCGGCAGCGCGCGATGCAGCTGTGATTTTTGTGGAGCAATGGAAGGTGACTCGACCGGAATACGAGACAGGCAGCTGCAGCCGCCAGGTTCGCGGCGCAGGGCGGCAGGGCGAAGGCAACCGAAACAGCACGACCAACAGAAAGGAAGCACAACGTTCACCGAAGACACGGTGCAACCTCACACGACATAATCATGTGCGAGTGCGTGACTTCGAGCCACCGTGTTGATGATTGTCGAATGACACGCGACCATCATTGTCCAACAGGACATTGTGGTGTGAAAGACGAAGCCCAGCAAACACGCGCGGCGGGCAGGGAAGCTATCCTTTGGAGAAAAACAAAAGGAAAAGTGGCACGCACATTGCTGATTGGTCAAAGACCCATGTGGCGCAATTTTCCGCAGACAACGTGAAACGTGGCGAATGTCCCCGCATGCCTGTGGCTTTTTTCTTTGTTTTTATTTTTTATTTCCTGCAGAGATTGATCACATCTTGAGGTCGACGAGGGGGAACAAGAATACCCACGTAACTCCACGCAAGAAAAAGAAGGGGGCAATAAAAGCCCCCTTCCTTTACCAACGCCATCATCCATTGAAGGCACGCCAGAATTATCCCCCCCCGGAGGGCACACCCGGAGGGGGGCACACAGTGCCCCAGCGGCGGATGCACGAGGCCCCATCCACTCCTGCTCTCCTGGGGTTTCCTACACGTCAGGCTTTCTTTGTTCTTGCACCCGGGGTTCGGGGGTTATCTAGTCCACGCCCGCCATGTTGACGTCGGCGTCCGCAGCACCGGCGGCGGGCTTGCCGCCGTTGCGGGAGCGGTCCTTGCGGGCCAGTAGCGCCGCGCGGTCCTTGTCCATCTTGATCTTGGTGATTTGGACCTTGGACGGGTGGATGCCCACGTGCACCGTGTTGCCTGAGACGCAATCGTCGTCGTTCACAAGGCAAGTTGTCGGTGATAAAACATCAGACTCAGACTCGCTTTTCTTGTGTGTGGAACGGATCAGGGTGGGCCTTTGCATTTAACCCCCAAAAGAAGCCTCCTCGTCTCGTCTACCCCAAAAAACAAAAAATCAACGGCTGGCAAAGCGCGGGGGGCGGGAGGGATGTGAAGGTAAGGTAACCTTCATTCAAAAATTGCCAAGGACGATTCTCTATTTCCACAGCAAGAGTACCACACGTTATCACCGGACAAGTCATTGTTGTTGGTGGTGGTCTTCACATTGCAAACAGTTCCGGTCTCCGCTCAGCCCCATACTTTTGCAGCTAGCTACACACACCAGTTCCAACAGTAAAGAGACTCACCGTTGGCCTTCTCCCTCGTGATGCGCTCGATGTGGATCACGAACTTGCGGCGGTAACAGGTCTCGACCTTCCCTTCGCGGTTCTTGTACGCCCCTCGGACCACCATCACCTCGTCACCCGCCCGCACGGGGAGGGATCGGACCTGACAACGTGGGGGGTGTCCATATACCAAGGAACGAAGAAAGTCTATCAACCAAGAAAAGATGCCGTGAGACACTCTTCGGCGACGACGAACACTCCTGCCCTCATTCGCAGCGGTCAAGTTGCGTAATGTTTGCATCTTCAAGGTAGAAACGAGGAAAGCGCATGCATGGCATAACGGTCTGTCCCAAGGAAAAGATAGAAACCAAGATGAAAACTTTGGAATGCATGGGCCTTCGTGAATCGAACATGAAGGAGGTCAGTGCAAGAGAGGAGCCAAAGGCGAACAACGTGCGGTGGATGCGGCTGACCAACGAACGCTGAGTCTCCAAAGATCGGGCGTCGCCTCGAACATCACATTTCTGTGCCAAGCAACCTGGAGAGGTGATATGAGCCTGAACCCTGCTTCGTAAGATCAGCGGTGGTGCCTCAGTCCATCGTAGTCTTATATTCGCTCATCAAGGTCAAGATCAGCATCAAAGTCTTTATAACGTTCGCTCATCACAGGCCCACCGAAGTCCACAAAACACGTGTCTACAATAGCACCCATTGCGGCAAAGATACTGCAGCTGCGATTGCTGGACGATTGCGAAGAAGGCCCGTCATATTGAAGACTGAATATGCGATGGTTCCACACCTTGTGTTCGGAACAGATCTTGGTATTTTGCTGAGATAATCACAGGGCTTTCTTCGCACCACAAGAAATAAACTTACGCTCAAACATCACGGCTGCTAAGTTGCTATCTATGCAACAATGAGGTGCTTCAGTCCATCCAAGTCTTGCATTTGCTTATCAAGGTCAGGATCAGCATCAACATCTTCATGGTTATCTTATCACAGCTCCACCCAATTGCACAACAAACTTACATCAATGATCAGAGAGTAGTACACAAAGCAACTACTTTGGAGTAAATACACTGCAACCACGACTGCGAAGGCCCTTCATATTGAAGACTGAAATGCGATGGTTCCACATCTTGTGTTCGGAACAGATCTTGGTATTTTGCTGAGATAATCATAGGGCTTCCTTCGCACCGTGCTACCACATTATTTCATTTATGCCAAAAATCGTCATCTACGCCACAACAAGGTGCCTCAGTCCATCGTAGTCTTGTATTCGCTCATCAAGGTCAAGATCAGCATCAAAGTCTTTATAAAGTTTGCTCATCATCGGTCACCATTTCCACTTCAACATCCCTCTCATGACACCAACGTTCGTTTACCAGGCCGCGTACTGGCATATTTCTTGCGCTTGTTGCGGTTATGGCACACCAGTAAACACAGACATCGACATCGAGCTATGGTGCCTCAGTCCATCGTAGTCTTGTATTTGCTCATCAAGGTCAAGATCAGCATCAAAGTCTTTATAAAGTTCGCTCATCATCGGTCACCGTTTCAACAGCCCTCTACGTCACCAACACTCAGTATGTACCAGGCCGCCTACGCCTGCCTGCAAGGCCGTTCCCCTGTTGCCATGCTACCACAGCAGTAAAATGTAGAAATCAACTTTGAGCGGTGGTGCCTCAGTCCATCGTAGTCTTGTATTTGCTCATCAAGGTCAAGATCAGCATCAAAGTCTTTATAAAGTTCGCTCATCACCGGTCCACCGCCATACACGCCAGGCCGCCTGCTACACCAAACAAGGCGGCGCTACGGCCGTTTCAAGCCAAAGGTAAGCACACTTATTGTTCATACTTTTGCTGTTCCGACTTCACGGCGAAGGGTATCGGCAAAAGGATGAACTACAGCCCGTCTCCCGATTCCGCGGCTACGGATGACAAACCCTTCGAGGCGTCTCGCATAGCAACATGAAAACAGACTTGTTTAGCAACAAAGGGTGCAGCAAACACGAAGCCCCCCCCCCCCCCCCCCCCCCCCCCCCCCCCCCCCCCCCCCCCCCCCCCCCCCCCCCCCCCCCCCCCCCNGGTTTTCGTCGCTTGGCAACGACGTTGTAAAACAAGCCGCCCCCCCCGGTGTTTGCCATCGCGATTGGGTTTTCGTCGATTGGCAACGACGTTGTAAAACAAGCCAATTCACTTCGTCAACTCGGCAACCAGGTTACCGTTCTTTTTTTTTACCTCCGATTTCTTTTTTTTGGCGGTAACCATAATGGTGGCCGAGTAGATCATGTTGTGCGGGGTGGATAACCCTCGCTCCGCGCAAGGGGGATGATCGCACCACGTTGTGTTAAAATGGTCAAGCACCCTCGAGGCAGT